TCTTATGTTCTATGTTTGTATTATGCTATACTGCAACTTCCTCTCCTGTTCTCCTTCTTGGCCTTCTGCCTTTCATTTGGAATTTAAAAGTGGTGAATCAGTCAGAGTATCAATAATGAGCTTTGTCTCTTTTTTCCTCCTCCATTATTTGAATTCAGCCTTGGATCCTGAGAATACTTAGCAAATGTTTGTATGCATGCAAAATGCTTGTGGCCATAAAAACTACCACCTTTGGATTGGGAAAAATCCAAAATTCCTGTTGCCTAGATAATTTCATATACAAACCCAAGGATTTTCATATTTGTCACATTGTTACATAGGCTTGATGTGTTACATAGGCTTGATGTGATGCTACTGTCCTAAGCCTATTGCATTTCATGTACTGAGGAGGGGTTCTCCACGTGATCAGGTACGGTGCTGTATGCAATGTCTATGAGAGACTGGACTCTTAGAAGGGAGTTGTTTCTTTAATTCTGTAATTAGTGTAGTTCTCTCTGCAGTCATTATTCCTGCTCTAAAGCACTAGTGCTTTAAATACTTGATGATTAATTATTTGACCTGTTAATTGACCAGGTTTGCGTTTTTTTGTTTCTTTGGACTAGCCAAATGTCAACGATATTGTGAATGTCTTATACTATAGTTTTGCTAACTAGGCACTTGAACGATGATTAGGGACTTAACAAAAGGTGCTTAATCAGCCTTCATGAATGGAAACCTTTTTCTGTCCTCTGGAATGTCACAACCAGTTTGACAGTTTTAATTTAGACTGTGACAGGGAGGGTTAGGAAGGTTGCCAACCAATCAGGAGAAAAACTGACCTGGATGGGATTTTACTTCTGCAGTTGCCAGAATTTTTTGTATAAAAGCCAAACATTTGTTCTACTTGCCAAATTTTTTAAAATAAAGCTGTTATTAATTGACATCATTTGTACCCCACCTTTCTCCCTAACTGGGGGACCCCAAGCATATTACATCATTCTCCTCTCCTCAATTATATCTTGTGAGATAGGTTTGATTGAGAGTCTGAGTGGCCCAAACTCATCCAGGAAGCTTCCAAGGCATAGTGAGGATTCGATCATGGAGTCTTCTAGATCATAGTCCAGTACTCTAGCCCTGCACCACACTGATTGAAAGCCTGATTTTCTTTTGGTGCACAGATGTAAAATGTGTAAAACTGGTGCTTGTAAGACTGAGCAAACCATCTTACAAGCACCAGCTGTACACACTTTAAATCTGCGCACCAAGAGAAAATCAGGCTTCGGTTTGCTCAGCGTTCCAGTTTCTACTGTTTATGTGTGCAATTGTGCCTTCTGACCACCAGAGACACTACAGAATTTCAATGACTGCAGTTACAGCTTGTGGCCTCCAGGATGTCTTAAAATTGATGGTATATGACAAGAGTTCAGCAATATTGGTTATACTTAGGTTTTCAAGATTTTATGTGCTGTCTTTCCACTTTAAAAAGTCTTCAAAACCACATGCAACTGAGTTACAGTAAACAAAAAGTAATATGAGAACAGCAACAGTCATATTAAAAACTGATATAATCCAGTAAAACAGCAACAAGACCAGTCCCTGGTGAAAGATCTAGAGAATAAAATGGCAGCAAAATAAAAATCATGTAGGCAACTCACAGATTGATCTGCTTATATAACTTTAGTTGGAGAGTCTAGAATATAGTTAGAAGCTTGTGGACTTTATAGTTATAGAGGAATTTGAAGATGTGACAGCCAAAATAATATAGTGCCATCAAGCCACAACAGACTTACAGTGACCCCTCATGGGGTTTTCAAGGCAAGAGATGAACAGAGGTGGTTTCCCATTGCCTTCCTCTGCATAGCAACCCAAGTCTTCCCTGGTGGTGAGAAATCAAACGTTTATAACCCTCTGTTTTCCTAAATCAGTGGGGAATAGAAGAATTGTATGTAATTTATATCTATATTGTATATAAGGTCTCTTACGCAGACAGGAGCAATTTTCAGTCCCATTTATCACTGATAGATCAGTAGCAAAAGAGCTTGTTTTCCAGTTATTACTGCGTGAGTATCTATCATTCCTATGTGCTCCCTACATAGTTCCACCTCTGCTGACCCCAGAAGTGCCCCATATGTGATATTCCTACCTAAGGCTCATGGAGGCTATCGATTGAAGCTTTCTTTTCATAGGGTAACTGCTTTGGGAGAAGAGTATTGTAGAAGATGCCTGCTCAGCTGCATTTTGACATTGATGGAGTTTATGAAAACAGTGTAGTGGAAATTGTCAGTTATATCCAGTTTAAATGTGCCATTTAGCTATAACTTTCATGCTAATTGTGTTTCTTATGTGTCCAGTAAACAGAAAAACTTTTCAACCTCTGGTCTATACCATGCTTAGTGAGTGGAATTTTAGCTTCTGAGAAGGGTAACTAATGGCTAGAATCTAGCCAAGTGTTTCTGCATGCAGAAGGATTTCTACCCACAGAAATGTTCAGCTGAATCCAAGTGAATTATCTGCAGACCCTTGTTTTTCTTTGAAGTTTAAATGAAGGATGTAATGATTTCAAGTTATATGTGTGTGCTTCTTTAAAACGGTTGGTAAGTGTCTGAAGAAAAGGGGGTGAAAGAGGGAGAAGAGTGAGTAAGGTGATTGGGTGGTGACTGTATGGGCAGAGCTGGGAGGTGTGTGTGTGTGTGTAGAGGGAGAGAAGGCAGAGTGTTCAGTTTGAAGTCAGAAGTCAGTAGCTGTCAGCTGTGGTCAATCTACACAGAGTCTGAGAAGTAATCTTCTAACTAGAATCATATAGAAGTGCTGTGAAAGGCATTAAGATTCTAAAGGAGGAAGACAATTTACTTAAGGGGATATATTAGGAAAAATCTAATATAGTCAGAGTATTTTAAGAGTGTGAGGGGGAAAGCTAACAGAGACCTGAGTAAAAGGGAAAGATTCTACTAAGCAATTTAACAAAACATCTTGTAACCAGTACACTTCTTTCACCAATAAAGTTTTATCTTGTTTATTGTTAACCCAGAGTCTTATCCTGAGAACCACATAGACCAACGAAGAAGCCTTAGAGCTTGGGCACAATACTGTGAGAAAGGTTAATTAAAGACTGGAATTAAATTCCTGGTGGCAGCGATAGATCTTTGAGTGAGAGAAAGAAATACAAGATAAGAGAGAGGTGGCATCACAAAGGATGATGCAGTATTCAGGGTTTTTGTGAGCCAAAACTTGCAATAATACATATGAAAATGTGCTTGAAAGTCACTGCTGGCTTGCTTATGCATCTGGACTCTAAGTAGGTGTCATGGTATAAAAAGCACAAACTGTTAATGAAGGCTGCAAATTTTAATTGGTTTAATGGGAGATGTTAATCTCCAAAAAGTTTAGTTACAGGAAAATTTGTCCCTGCCTCATTTAATCACTAGTCCCCAGGCTAAAGAGCACCTTGGCATACAGACTACGCAGATGTACCTTCTCCTTGCATCATATTTGTTTTCCATGGTGCAATTATTATGACTGTTCTTCAAGAGGGAAAGTTACTTGAATTTCATGGTGAAAAATGCAGGGGAAGAAAGTGTGCACCAGACTTGTTAAGATTTTAGAGGAAATGAAAGAATGTACTGATCAGTGGGAATCAATTGGTTCAGTGGGAATCAATTGGTGTGTGTAACCTTTTAAAATAGACTTTTTATGTTTAATTACAGTCTACAGTTTAAGGTAACTTTAAGCCGTCTTGAAAGTAGTGCCTGAATCAAGCAGCTGGAGGTTTAATGGCTGAAGTTCCCAATCAATGTTTAAAGTGAATGCATGTGAACACATGATACTGCCTTATACTGAATCAGACCCTTGGTCCATCAAAGTCAGTATTGTCTACTCAGACTGGCACCGGCTCTCCAGGGTCTCAGGCAGAGGTCTTTCACATCCTATACTGCAAGATCCTTTAACTGGAGAGACCAGGGATTAATCTGGGAGCTTCTGTGTCCAAGTAGATGCTCTGCCAATGAGCCACAGCCCCTCCCTAAGTGCTATCCCTGACTTGGACCCTCCAGGATGGTCCAGGCTAGCCCATTCTTGTCAGATCTGGGAAGGTAAGCAGGGGACCGGCCCTGGTTAATACTTGGATGGGAGACCACCAAGAAAGTCTAGGGTTGCTATGCAGAGGCAGGCAATGGTAAACCACCTCTGAATGTCTCTTGCCTTGAAAACCCTACAGGGCACCATAAATTGGCTGCAACTTGACGACAGTTTCCACCACCACCACCAGTTCTGCTTGATGAGCAGACCATTGTGTTATGCCCTTTTTTTCTTGAACTTTGAGAATATTCATTACCATATTTCTGTAGCCTCTCCTAAGGTTGTTCTAGTGTATGTACAGTTGTGGTGCGTACCCTTCAGTTGTGGTAGATAAATACTCATAGTTCTAGAGCAGACTGATTTGTGGAACATAATGTGAAGGGGGTTAATCTGACAATTGTTGCTTATTAAAATGTACTTTTGAAAATAAAAGCTAACACTAAAAAGTTACCAAAATGGCACTAGGAAAAAAATTCCAATTCCAAAAAATGTTCTGTTATATCCTCCTTATATTTTAACCAGCAATTGAGTGTGGCTAATGGGGAAAAGTAAGGTTTGGTTGGCAGAATGTGACTGAAGGGGGTCCAGGACTATGGGTTTGCAGAGAGGAGTCCATTAGATCCAGCTCTGAGTCCTATTTAACTGTTAAGTGTATAGTTAAACTGTAATATTACTATGTTTTATTTATTTTTAGGTTGCTTTTTGGATGAAAGAAGACAACCTGTTGACATGGGATCCGTTGTCTGGGAATGTGGTTAGGTGGTTGGTTAGACCGTTTGATGCAACTTTTATCTCGAAATGAAGCGAAGGCCATGATGAAGTACCTTTTTAGTGCCTCAGGAATAAGAACCTTCTACTGGACTATGCTGAGTGGTACGAATGCAGAATGTTGTTTGGTCTCTGAAGAACCTTAAAGAGAAAAGTTAAAATGCTAACCATGGCATGTGGGCATCTCCCAATGTCTGCTGAATAAGCTCTGGAGATTCACAGAATCACCGTGAGAGGATGGCTGCAAAGTGGATGTTCCATTTTCTTTGGCCTCTGGCTGTTCTGGTGAGATGCACAGGTGGCCACAGCCTGTTCTCATGTGAACCCATCATCCTGAGGATGTGCCAGGACCTTCCTTACAATACCACATTCATGCCTAATCTTCTGAACCATTATGATCAGCAGACAGCAGCTCTAGCAATGGAGGTAAGTGTTAATCTCAGGTTCATATATGGCTTTAATTACTGACTGAATTGCTTTCATTATTAGGAAATTTCTTCGACTCATTAGTCTAATAAATATTTTCGTTGCATATGATTGTAATAGTAAAGCACCAAAGGGCAGATTGGATGCCTTTATGGTTTTAGTGGCACTTTACAAATGCATTGGAAGTTTCCTGTAGCCAGCGTGATGGTTAGAGTGTCAGACTAGGATGTAGAAGACCCCAGTTTGAATCCCCATTCTGTCATGGAAGGCTGCTGGGTGACTTTGAGCCAGTTGCACACTCTCAGCCTAACCTATCTCTCATGGTTGTGAAGAGTAGAATGATGTAAGCTGCTTTGGGATCCCCACTGGGGAGATAGGCAGAGTATAAATGAAATAAATATACAGAAGCACTTCTGCGGGGAAAAAAGCAAAGGTCACTCGTTGAGACATCATGTGTGAGTAAGCATGCAGGCATCCTAGCTTATCTTACACTGAAGGGGGTTCCATGTAACATGCATAATATTTTAATCAATCCTGAGTTCTTCAACTAAATATATGAAAGTATTGTTCATGGCTCGTCAAATATTGTAGCAGAGATGTGTGTCAGACCAGTTATGTATCTTATTTCATATGATAAACCTATATTGCCCCCCAGTATTTCAAAAGCAGTATACGAAAAATTAAAAATCACAGAACACTAAAATAAAAAAGAGCAAGCAATATAAAATGAGTCTAAACTAACAAAATAGTAAGCAGAACAGAAAAACATTTTAGTGTCTCAACTTCCAAAGTCACAAAAAAGAAGGGTCTTCTTCACTAACAAGGGAGCCATATGTACCCACCTTTGAAGAAAACTGCAGAATTCTAAGGTAACAAATGAAAAGTCCTTTTTGTCTCATGGGGACCAGTCTAGCTTCTGCATAGGATGGTACTTTTAAGCAGAGCTTCCTTAGTAGATCTTAAATATCAGGGAGGTTTTTATGGGAGAAGTTTCCTGGGCTCATCAGGGCTCAGGTTTTTTAACAGCTTCACAGACTAAAACCAGCATGTTAAATTGAGCTCCAGAACAAACTCTGTCATTGCAGATTTTTCAAAAACAGGCCAATTGCCATCTTTCTTTTGGGTGCAGTAGCTAGTCCTGAGCCCATCACATGCACATTATGTTTCTTCCTTTTTGTACTTAGGGGAAAGGCAATGTATTCTTGATTAGTTAAAACCACGTGAGTGCATAGTGGGGTAGCATTGTCCTCACTATAAGAGCCAAACTGTGCATTATGTCTGCCAAACCTGAAGCTTTGCAAGGGGTGTTATTTACTTGGGGGGGGATCTGTATATGCAAGCATGCAATGCACAGATATCCCCCGAGGCTGTTTGGGGTCTGTAAAGCAGTGGGGGGAGTCCCTCCTCCCCCTGTGTTGTGGTCCAGACCAGAATCAGCCCCCTGTAGCACTTCTAAATTGAGTGTGCACAGGAAATTTGCAATTATCATATATCCGCGAGTCCCTATGGTGATCATGTGCCAGATGTGACATGCAGTTTTGTCCTGAGTCTGGTTCTTTTGCCCTTAGTGGAATCCAATGAACAGTCAAATCTGAATGGCTACAAAGTGCTGTGATGCCACGATCACTATTTGATATGTACATAGTTGAGATCCTGTCAGGAAGACAGGATATTTTAAAAAACACAAGGGGGCTTACAAAAAAATAGCAAAGGGGGGCTTGCAAAAGGTAGCAAGAAAGGCACCTTTATAAGGGGTTTAGGGACACAATTTTATCTCATCAAACACATGGCTTTTGCCCAAGCAGTTTTTGCAGGCTATCACTTGGCATAGCTTCAGTAAAACTGAAGATGCAAAAGATTCAACATATGCTTTCTTTTACATATGTAAGTTCTGAAGAATCTTGGATCATCACCCAAATTGGAGAATAGTAGTAGCCCTAACCCAGATGGCCCAGGCTAATCTGACCTCATCAAATTTTGGATGCTAAGCACGGTTAGTCCTGGTTAGTACTTTGATGGGAGACAACCAAGGAAGTCCAGAGTTGTTACAGAAATGGATGATGGCAAACCACCTCTGTTTGTCCCTTGCCTTGGAAATCCGACAGGGTCACCATCAGTGTTCCTTCTAAGCTCCAGAGCAAACTAATTTATGTGGTAGCCAAATCACTCACTCACAAATTTAATGCCAGTAGCTCACAAAATAGAATTTTTGCTCACAAGACTCCACAACTTAGAGGGAGTATTGGTCACCATAACTTCCTTGCAGCTTGCCGGCACTTTCCACCACTAATAGTGAGTCCTATAAGTACAGACTTTCCTAATCTGTATGGAGAAAGAGGACTTTTGGCTCACTCAAGGGATTACAGGGGCTAGTTAGGAAATTCTTACCTTTAGATTCTGCAAGTTCAAAAATGCCCAGTCTTCTACCTATGTACCTCTTTCATACATTTATCTAGCACAGACTTATATTTTTTCAGAAGCATGATATATTGAATTTAGAGAACCAGCTTTGTTCTAGTATGGAAATATGTAGTACAGAAATTATTTGGGAGACATTTTATATGACAATGGTAAAAGCCAGTGTAGTGGTTAGAGTCAGGCTAAGGTCTGGGAGATTCAGGTTCACATCCCCACCTATCCATGGAAACTTGATGGGTGACCTTGGATCAGTCATACAGTCTAACTTACCTCATAGGGATACTGTGATGGTAAAAATGGAGGAAACAAGTGATACAAGTTGCTTGGGGTCCCCATTGATGACAAAGATAGGGTATAAATGAACTAAACTAATAGGAACTTGTTATTTATTTTGCTCTTTTCTGTTGGTTGGCTATAAAAACTCACACTGTACTTTTAGAAGAGCATATCACTCAAAAGCCAGATAAGGGCATCTTGCAGCTACCAAAGCTGTAGAACTTTGCACAGCATGATAGTATCTTGTCATGCAGAATACAACAAGGGTTTTAGAATTTCAGCCAGCATAGTGTAATGTGATTGCACACTCTCAGGGTGGGCTGAACCTGCATGCTAGACTTATGGCAGCAAGCTTTATTCCCACAAGCATTTGACATAATCCTATCCTGTTACATAGATGGGGGCTGCTTCTGTAAGTAATAGGCCTGTATCTGCTAGCTCTTTTGCTAGAAATTCCACTCATGTGGATTGATGTAGATGTATCTTATGTGACTTACAGTTTTGATGCTGTTTTGAAGACTTTTATCTTTGTCTTAAAAATGGTTATTGCATTTATAGCAGACGAAGAAAGAAACTTTAGTCTTGAACCTGTTTGCATAATTTTTAGTATACTATAAAATTTGGACAGCTCAGCTCAACCAATGCAAGCTATAGTAACCAGGAGCTGTCCAGCATAGGTCAATATTATATAGATGGGTACCAGCTTTGAAATAAAAATGTTTAAATAGGAATGTTCAGGAATTTCTTGGTGCGAGTATACAGTTGGGTCTGTTGAGATAATTTGCTGAAGATATCTGTTGTTAATTTACATGACCTTGTTTCCTGTGTGATTGTTGTATGAATTAGCTATTGCAAATCAACTATCATAGATAAAACTTTCCTAACCAACAAATATTGAACCTAAATGAGATAAGCTTATCACTCGAACTACCTTAAGTTGTTGACAAGCTGTAAAACTATTGAGAGGAGAGTTCTGATAAAGAATCTGGAACGTAGTTCATACAAGCAACAGTTGAAGGAGCTTTTAAAATTTTTAAATTAAATTTTCTTTAAAATTTAAATCTTAAATCTCTTTTTTAAACCATTGTATCTTCAATAACTTTTGTACATAATTATTTGAAGTATTCCTTCTTCCTATCCATTCTGTTCTATTCTCTGCAGCTTTTCCCCCTCTTGCACCACATGTTGCAAGAAATTACATGAGAAGAGACTACTCGAGCAGTAAACAAAGTGACAATTGAGAAATGCAGTAAACAAGTTCAGACTTGAGGGGAAGAGAAGCAGAAAGTAGGGTTGTCTTATCTGTGGTCTCTTGAAAATGTCACACACAACTATGGAAAGTAAATTCTATACATTAAAACTCAATTAGCCAAAAAACCATATGTCGAGGCTATGCTTCTAATATGCAAATAATGTGTGTTTTTATTAAAAATATGGGTTGGGTCCTATTTAAATTTCATACACAGAAGCACAGCAGCCACCCCTTCAGAAGCAGCCCAAATTTCCCCCTGAAATGGTGCCTTTAGGGGCCAAGGGATTCCTGGGAGCTATGGGAGGGGGAGTTGACCCTTTGCACATGATGAGGGACACCTGTTTGTGTCTGTATGTTGGGCAGATCACTGTGCTGGAAAAGATGAGATATACATGCATACTCACTTTAAGTAGCTTGGTTGGTCCTTTCATAATCTTTTTTTTAGTTGATAAAATGCTTGATTTTTCCAGTGCAGCATCTGAAATTGTGTAGGTGGTATCCTGAAGTATTTCTGCCAACTTGGAACAGATGGCGTACCCAGCAAGCATTTTTTTCCAAATTTTCACTTCTTTCTATTTTAACAAGGAAATTGATTCAGCCTACGATCACTGCAAAATAAGTAAGTGGAAAGAGGAAATCATCCCAGATGATCAGAAATAATCTGGGGAAACTTGAAGGGTAATATAATGATGCTTGTTGGCAGAAATTTAACTAATGTGCCATTCCTCAGTTGCTGGTGGCTTTAATAAGAACAAATAGTCATCTAATGGAGTTAACCTGTTTAACATTACAGATGGGAAACACTAGGTTTAATTCTAAATATAGTTACACCTTTCTTAGTACATGGAAGTCAGTAGGTTTAAGAGGGTTAACTTTGTTTAGTATTATACTGCAAGAACCTATAAAAGAAAGTTGCTTACCTTGATATCATAAGAGCCATGCTGGCAGTCAAGTTTCTAAATATTATATTCTGTGGGAAAGAGATTTTAAAAGGCTTGTTTAACTGTTTCAGTGAAGGAAATTCAACCAGAGCTAACTTGTGGCATGTAGGTTA